TAAACTGTCGATCTAAGTCCTGCATTGTATAATTAACGTCCTCTATCGCATTACGATTGAAATATAAATTAATGTTTATTCTTAAAGTATTTATACCAGTCACATTAAAAAAATTTTCCCATTCCACGTTTAACGACCCTTATTACCTCACGCTGATTGATGATTGCATGCTGACAGATAAAAAACAAAAGCAGAATAATACAAACATAGGCACAGCAAATAATAACGTATTATAACAACTCTTCATTATAGCTACTGCAATGATAGATTCAATGACATGAACTAAAAGTACAAATAGATTCGACTTTACGAAGATGAACATGTATAGATATTGATTTTGAATTATGAAGTTAAATCCTCATACACTTTAAATCAAAAGTATTGAGATAAAGAAAGAAAGAAAAAAATCTAATTGTAGTATAAAAATTTCTTAAAAGAATAACTTAAAACGAATTCTTAGTAAAGCTTACCTGAGTGCAAGGTAAAGTGGTGTTAAAAAAATTCCAAATTAGAATTATGACAAATAAATCAGTAACGTGATATGTGAACAAAAAACATGTCAGAATTAAGCTAGTGTAAGTATTTTGTTCAAATAACAAAAATACAAACTTGACTACGTACAATCGAAAATAGTGAAATATACAGATCCAAAAATTAAAAAAAAGTTTTAAGAGAGAATTAAAAAGGAAATGATTCTAAATTTATGGTTAATACATAAAAACATAAATTTTCTCATTTCTTACTACAATCGATCTACAGGTAAAAACACGTTTCTAAAAACTCATTCTTCAGATGTGATTGACTTAAATTTTGGGCTAGTTATGAACAGTGATACATATATATTCTATTTTTTTCGTAAATTTAAGAAATACTAATAAGAACTGAGTTACAGAAATAGAAAAACAATGTTAAAGATTTTCAAATACACTCAAAAAATAAGATAATAGGTCGCAAAACAGATATACAGAAAATGATTTACACTCTCATAGGACAGGATGAACACATGAAATATTCTTGTGAAATTAAGAAAGATATTAAGATAAACTTTTTGAACTTTGTCGTAGAAAAGGACGTAATAAAATCATCTCTGATTGGTATACGGCATCAACCACTAATAACAAATATTTTGATTCCAATTCAAATCATTATTTGTCCCTTACAAAAAATTATGTATACAAGTTCTGCTATTCTCCTGTATAATTGTCGCACAATTGTTTCTGCCATGAAGACACTAGTACTGTTGAGAGAATGACTATCCGCTATATTTTGCCGATTTACATGTTCAAATCAGATTTTGTTCATCTAAAAATACAAGTGAAAGAATAAATAACAGCTTATAAACTTATTATCGACAGTAACATGTATAAGTACTTTAACAGCGGTAACTAGCGTGTATACCAACGTATTTTGAAATTAAATTCGTCAAAAAAAGTTTTTTTAAATAAGGCTTGTTACAAGATTGTTCGATTTTAGCCGATTTAGAACGAGTTTTTAGTTGTGTGGGCTGACACAGAGTGTATTTGGTGTAAACAAACAACTGCATAGCAACGAGCTATTTGTCAGTAAGTAGGGCAGCAGTGCGGCTTTAGCTTTTTGATAATCACCAACTTATAAGGCAACTTAACACAACTTTTGTAAATTGTAATATAATAATTAGGTACTTGATGGGTTCTTGACATGCACTTGAAAAGTATATGGTGGGTACTGAAGTCAAGAATATCAAGTCCCGCTAGTGCCCACCAAGTACCTGACAAGTCTACGTCAAGTATCCGTAAAGTTTCACCCAATATCTACCATTTTCTTACCAATTACTCGCTTAATTCTCACCTAGTAACCATCAAGTACCCACCCAGTATACGTCAATTTCCCGTTACCTAGCTAGTACCTGGCAAGTTCCCATCAAGAAATTGACATCCTATAGCCCGTGATTTCCTACAAAGGGCCCGCCAAGTACCCACCAAGTGCTTAATAAAATGTTAGTTGAACGCTAGTGTGTTTTGTTTGGTAATATAATCGCTTGCAAAGGATAGAAACAAAAAAAAACCGTTTTAAACATTCAATAAGTTGATAATAATTAAACTAAACCAGATAGGGCCAAATTCAGTCGATAAAAATTAAGTGCAATCACACGCAATGATAATAGCTACAGCAAGCAGTAATAGAATAAATTGACCGAAAATAACAACCTTAAATTAGCTCAAAATGGTTTAAATTAAACAAATAAATTTTTATGCATAGATACTTGTCTGATTCAACTAAATATGTATTTAGAAAATATTTTCTAGGTTGTAAGGATATTGAAAATTACGTATGTTTTGAGCGCTGTCTAGTAATTAGAAATCAATTATGTAACGTTAACTAAAAAAATTGAAATTTATCATCGTTAAAAAAAGTAAAAAATTCATTCAACAATCATCTCAACAACTCCTGTTTAAAAGTTCTTTAACGTTGCACTTAGGCGCAGATAATGAAGTATAATACTTGAACATTTGAGCTATTAATGGTCTTGAAAGTAGTTCTATTGTCACAACTCATGCTGTATAAACCCAACATTATTATATTGATATGCATAAAAATAAATAATCTGTGAACTTTTACGTACATATTTGATTTTCCAACAAATGTCATTAAAATGTATCTTAAAAATGTATTACTACATTCTTCGCATACAGATCTATTAGTAAGAAGTTAATTTTCTGAGAGGACTGTAAAGTCCCTATTCATGGATGTATTTATATATTCTGTAACGTGGTGAATAGGCAGTACATCTAAACACGTCACAGAACCCTCATCACTGAAAGTCAAGTAGTTATCTCTCCTGCCTGTGGCTTGCTTCTATATGCAAAATTCTGGAGTGAGGCTTGGAGGCTACAGCACTTAAAATAATTATAGGGCTCTATCTGACTCTTGTCCCGTGCTTCCTACCTTGTACCCTTGTGACGTATGAGTGCTGTTGAGGGTATTTATATGTGTGAACGACAGCTACCAGTGTGTTTGAGTACCGAGAGGTAACAAAATAATGGTGGCTAATCCCCTGTGATGTGCTGGCTACTAATACACAGGGGGCCGTATAGCGTACAATGTGCCTGATTGCCGAGACAAGGATAATCACTTGAGTTAGGCTCGAGACTGACACTAAAGTAGCGTGGCGTAGCATCAGCAGACTTTCTCCAGATGAACAACTGTACGCTGCCCCTACCAAGTCCCCAGCTGTACGAACACCAGCAGGACCACGTCAACTCTCAGTGCTCCGGATTCAGACAGCGCATTTGAGGACGCCAACGGAGAACTTTCCCGGATATATCCCGGTGGGTGTAAATACCTACTTTTGGTGCTGTGTGTTGTGTTGTAAAAAAGTTTTTGTCTCTAATTACCTAACTAAGAATAATAGAGTCAACCCGAAGTTCCCTATCAGAAGTTTTTACTTAATGCCCATGTTATTAGCAACAAATTAAATCCACGACAGCAAGCCATGACGTGGGGGTCGTTGCCTTCGTAGTGTGCCATGGATCATTTGTAATCAAAGTGTTCATAGTAGTGAATATACATCATATTAATTTTACTTTGTGTCGTTTATTCAGTGACATTGGGTAGCGCTAACTGCAGCTACAGTGAAGTGGTAACTTGGTGAGTGTTTTTAAATTAAGAAAAAAGGCTACTCAACTTTAATACCTATGCGATACTACCAGCTGCTGCTATTGGCGCTGCACAAGAGCTGGTGTATTGCACTCTCTTCCCAAATAGTAAAATAACTAAGTATTAACTTGGTTTGTCGCATCTCTGGCAAACGTGTCACAATTCTTATAAATTTTATGTGTTAGTACATAAGTGTGTGTAACCATGGATAAAGTCACAAACTGACAACACTGCAGATGACAGACTACAAACAGTACAAACAAACTGTCTATCACACACGACACACACATGTATCCGCAGACTCGTGGATTTACTAATATGGTGCCCTCTGGATTAAGCTGTAAACCATACATTCATCATTACATCCGCTTAACTTGTAATAATTAGTACAAAAAATCTCAAGTTTTGATAGTAGCTATCAAAGTTATCAGGTAAAATTGGTTACAGTTACAAAAATTTATTATTTTTCACCGTTACTTAAAATAAATATAGCTTGGAATTTAAGATATAGAGTTGTAATTAAGTTAAAATTCAAGTCGTAATCCAATTTTTCAAACAGCCATTTCATGATTTTTTGCCAGTTAATTAGTTCATGCAAACGTTACTGTCAAACGAAGATCAACCAAAAATGTAGGAAAATGGAGTTTCATCTGTAAATCTGACCACTATCATTTTGATCATGATATAGCTGTTAATAAAAATTTTTCAAGCATACTATATAATATGCCTTAAAAACATCTTTAGCTAATCCTTTTTAAAGTAATAAATATCACACTAAGACTTTTTAAAAATTGGGATGGATGCTTGACTCAAATAAAAGCATTGACAAAGTGGTTTTAACAAATATCAATAAAATTTACAGACTTTGAAACTTGAAGCTCAGGCCGGGAGCCATAGAAGTTATTAATTTTTTTATTCATCATATCGTAACATGTGCTTGTACTAACATTGACTGAAAGTGAAACATTAACATCAGAACGTATAATGCTTGAAAAAACAAGAAAGTTTGAATGATTTCGTTCTAAATACCTTAACTTTGAAAATACTCTATTATTCGAAATATGAAATGTTGTGACTTAAAGACATCCAAGTGAGATGAAATCTGTACTTTGTATAATCATCCAAACCAATACCCACAGATGTTTATAAATGTTATATTTAAGCTTAGTTTTGTTGTATTTTTTAAGTTTATAAAAACATCATTGTATAATACAGTATTAAAAACTTCAAGATTCTTAGGGTTAAAATATCAAGTTTCGTGTTTAGTTCGTTAAGTTTATTTTATGCATTTAAATGAGTAATGTAGCATAAAAAAATTTTTAATGGAATTTAAACAATTTCTTGTATTATTTTTCTCATTACAGATATGTATTCGAGTTTCAATACTGGAAATTCTAATGCGTCAGCGCGTTTAACCAAGAAAATAAGGACAAAAGCTATAACAGACATAGTAAATCCTGTCACTGGCAGAAACATAAGTGATGAAATTTACAAAGATGATTCAAATATACCTGGCGGAGATTTATTGAATAGTGGAGGTTTACACGCAATGGTAAATTAACTTCAATTATTTAATTCATTACATTATAATTAACTATTACGGTAGAGTTTGTGATAGGGGTATAGAGTTATATCCTTTATAAAATGGTATTTCCTATCTGCACACCACTTTAGTGATTTTTATGGATGCCTTGAATTATCTCCATGTTAATTAAGGAACCCTTGATCTCATCTTTCATTACTCCACTTAACCCATTACTCCTGTCACAAATTTCCACAACTAACCTTGTGAACATCTTTTTTCACCCTTACCCCAGGCTTTTCTCTTGAACTTCTACCCTAACTTTTCTCCCTCAGGACTCAAACAATGACTAACCCTAGGTCAAGCAAAGGTGCCAAGTTAGTAGCAAAACTTGAAATCCCACTCAGACTTATCTTTGAAAAAGTTGACCTGATTTTTTTTCGCAATTTTTCCCCACTAGCAAAGTCTTACCATAGTGACTGACAAACTATAACAAACTGATAATAAAATGAGCTATAGCTGATTTTACCATTGTGCTCTATTTCAAAAATTACATTCTGATAAATTAAGTTAGTTTATGTACATGTAATTTATCACTTGTCAACCTACTTAGACGTACCAGAGAACACACATAAAAATTACAACTAAACTGTTAATAGCTTTATACCAGAGTTTAAATTACTGTGTTAATACTTGAGTTTCTCTAAAAATGGTTCATAACTAAAATAACTACTCGTAAAAGTTTTCACAACTATCCATATTTTTGAAAAACAGAATCTTGATTAATAATTTAACTGATAACTGTTCAAAAATAAAATTTTAATCATACAAACAAATTATCGCTTGATTTTTACTGTAAAACGGTCCGGAATAAAACACTAAAACTTTTTTACTTTTTTTTTCTACATTGTCTATGCACCTTAAAACAATTATTACTTTGAAAAAGAAAAAACTCTATACACGATATGTGAAAACGTTTTTTACAAAAATTTTATCATCTCTAAATTTGTAGTACAGACTAACTTCTAAGAATTATCAGACTAGAATTCTCTATTTTTTGACACTCAGATTATTTTTAACGATCTCGAATACCTTCATAGGTGCAAGTAAATTGCTTGTGAATGAGATATTCTGAATTACTTAACACAATTTTTTTGTTACTTTGCCTGTCATTTTAAGGCATTACATTTTAATTATCTTGTTTGACAATCTTCAATACAATGGTATCTTCCTTAGGTATTCTTCGAAGGCGGTGCAGTCTTCCATCAAACAAACAACTTTCTAAATCAATTTTATCCTAATGTTAATTTCAAATTCGTGTATATATGATAAGTTATGTAATGAAACAATACTAAAGGTAAAAAAATTATTAAATGTAACATTAAAGCAAAAGCAATTGTTATTGAACTCATCGGAAGTGAAGTATTTATTTTAAAAACTACATGAAATACTGGTAATGCTTTATCATTACTAAACATATTAGTACTTAAATAATAAAATGAATTCTTAAGAAGACTAAAATTTATTTTTTCAATAACTTATCTAAAATTAACTGTACAAATATCATCTTAAGTAGTAGTAAGTTTATATTTGAAGTAACAGGATATCTATTGTATAAGAAAAAAAATTTCGATTTATTAATGGGTAAGTTTATTTATTATAGGTTTCTTATATTTGAGCGAAAATTATCGCAACATGAGCATATTTCACATTTTTTTTTTTTAATTCGAACCTGACTTGCTTCATTAAATTTATTAAATCCAGCAAGATATAACTGAGCTGTTAATTAGATGCTTTTCTAATTCAAATATTTTGAGGATTGAAGATTCCAATTCACATAAAAAAGTTTCTAGCTTGAGTAATAGATTAAGTACAAAGCAAGGTAAACAGTCTAACATATGAGAAAGACCTTTATAAGAATGTAAAATAAAAGACGAATTAAAATACGCAACTGCTGCATTATATAAAACAGAATTGTACACTGTAAGTTGGATGTCAATTCCCTGTATGACGTACAAATATCACCCCGTAAATAACATTCTGTTAAACTTAGCACTACGGCGCTGAGTAAACGGATTTAAAAGGGAAGCATACTGTAATTAATAACCAATAAGCTCTTAAGGTCAACGGTTGGTTCATGACGAACGTAAATAAATTTATTTGTTTGTAAAAGAAATCTTCGAGTTCCGCTCTTCACGTAAAAAATAAGACGTAGCATTCGGAAACAAAATTAAAAAACACACTCAAGCGTGTATTTTATAAAGAATTGGGTAAGACATTCCACAGTTTCCCTCTCTCCGCCAAACACTTTTCGGAATTTCTTATTTTCTCTGTTATTTAACTTATTAAAAAAATTTGTTTGGAGCCCACTTTTTCTCCTCTTATTTATAAAAGCCTCTTCATCCGTCCTCACAGCTCTCTAACTATGCTTCTAATATAAGACACAATAAATATGTTTCAAGCCACTCATTAGGCAAACAAATTGACTCTGTGCTATAAAAAAATTTATGAAACATTAGTCCATGATTATTACACATTAATCTTACCATCCTTAGCTTGGAAAGTATTTTTAAAAGTAAAACCAAGCTTTTAATTCTTTTTCCTGTGATATTCATTTCTCTGTTAAGTTTCTGATAGATGCACGTCATACTATGAGATATTATAATTACATTTAGTCACATGCATTTTCTAATATTTTAAAGGAAATTTGGTAGGGCTAAGCAATATGTGAGAGTGGGTAAGGGGCTTAATTAGAGTGCCGCAGGTTGGAAGGTCAAATCCAGTTAAAAAGTTTTTTTTATTTTTTAAAAATTGTTTAAAGAGAAACTAATAAAATTCAATAAAATTTAAAGTTCGTGCTGTGCTGTGGTGGCGTGGCGTCGTGTGGTATGGTGGGAACGAAAAAAGGCATGGGGCGGTACGGTGAGGGGGGCGGGGTTAAAGGAGAGTAACATACAAAATCCACTTCAGTGACACATTTTCTCAAGGTCAACAACCAAAAATTATTGAGTCACTTTCACGCATAACGCGCACATGTAAGTATAACTTCAAAAATATTCCATTTTAAATCTTTGGAAATGTTGAAAACTGCAGTGTATAATATAGTTGATATTTCTGAGACAGCTCATGCATATCTACCCACAGCGCTTTCGGAAAAAAGCGCCAGTAACCAATTGCTACGAAAGCTTGTGACAGCGCTGAATTTGACAAGATTCTTGAAGAGACTTGTCCCAGTTTAAGAGACTTATCCTAAACATTCTACATTAAGATTCGCGCTTGAGTGGATAAAGGTGTTAAAAAAGCGTGTGGATCGAAAATAGACATTATTGCGCTTAAAAATTCGTGCTTGGTCGATATTTTATCTTCGTCAAACAAATTTTATTTATTTATTTTAAAAAACAACTTATCTGTTCGGTTCATCTATTAAAGCCCAAAAACTTTTTTCCCGGTGTCTTTTGATCTTATATTGACCAAAGAAGTACGGAACGAAATATTTCTGTCATTTGTTATTGACTCATCATTGCTAGCCTAGCTAAGTATTTCCCAATTTGCGACGTTACAAATTTTCAGAAACTGCAGTTTTTAAAGCCGTTGAAATATAGAAAAAGTCAAACAATTTAAAATTGTATTTTAGATTAAAAGTAGAAATTTTTTTTTTTCAAATCAGCTAGTCAATTTCTTTTAATGTTGAAATAAATGCTTTGGTAAATTTAAATACTATTCCAAGAAAAGTCGTATTTTACCTTTACATTTAAATTTAGATAATAGAAATATTTTGCGTTCTTAAGTTTTTTAACAAGTTTTCTAGAAAAAAACTCATTTCCAAATTTAATAACTTTAGATGTGAAAGAAAAATTTGAGCAATTATTGAATAAATACTATCATGAAAAATATCATCATGGAAATAAGGAAACAATTTTTAATGAACTAAAACAAAAATTTTGGATTTTGGGCTTACGTCAGGCTTTGAAAAGTTTGTTGAGTACATGAACGATTTATAAATTACGTCGCGCTCAACCAGCACAACTATGTATCACCGCTTTACCTCCTACGTGATTAGCTTACCGGCAACGTTTTTTTTTTCTCACATTTAGTTGGATTATTTTGGTCTAATAACTGTAAAAATTGGTAGAAGAAAATAAAAAAGATGGGGAGTACTCTTAATTTGCCTTTTGACTCGCGGTATTAACTTAAAATTGGCACACAGCTAAAGCACAAACTCGGCAATTATGACGTTAAAACGTTTCATTGCACTGCTTGGCACTCCACTAAGCACATATTGTGACAATGGAACAAATTTTCGAAGCATGAGTTCCGAGTTAAAATCGGCAACAAATAAGCTTTACAAAAGTGAATTTAATGAATTTGCTGTAAAAAAAATGAGATAGATTGGAATTTTAATATGCCAACTTTTT